AAACTTAGTTTAATTAAATAAATATTTTGGTCAACTTATTAAATAAAACAAATAAAAATAAATCATAGCTTGTCTGTATTGGTAGTGCAACAAAACATCATCAGTAGAGTAAAAACAACCCGTCTCACAGCGGTCTATTCATGTTTTATGAATATGAAGTTACAGATACTGGTCTGATTTGTTTTCATTTATGTTTATGGCCAAACCTATTGAACAGCGTCTAAAATGTACATCCATCACAGTGTAAGGCCTGAGGAGCACAGGGACTGGCCTCCTGCTGGGACTCTGGGGAGCACAGGGACTGGCCTCCTTCTGGGACTCTGAGAAGCACAGGGACTGATGCCTACAGCTGAAGCATTGTACTTTTGCTCTTTTAAATATATATTGTTATTATTTATCAATGTATAGTTTCCATCTTCTTCTGAGTCGCCTTGTGTTTGAACTGTGCTACACAAATAAACTCTTGCCTTTGTCTCTGATCCAAACAGTTTTTCTCGCTCCTCGGTGTCAAAGCGTCTCTTCTCACAATGATCTCAGTCCATAATATTGAGTATGAGTGAGTGTAAAACCTGTCCTTCCTCATTGTTCAGACGGACTGGCTGAACTCTAAATAACTGGAGCTTGGAATAGCCCCAGATCTGAGACGGTGACAAGGCGACAACGCGTTCGCACTGGGTATTTTTAGTCCTGGCCGCGTTCGGATGTGTTCTTTTCTCCAGTTCCTTCCACAAAAAACAAAAAATCAGGCTTTTTTCAGTGTCTGCAGAAGGCTGGTGTTGTGGCTAAAGAGAGTGCCAGCCCATTCTCGCAGACAAACAGCCGGAAGAGGAGGACAAAAGCAAGAGCGCGGTTTGAAACGAGCAAAGATTAGGAGGTTTATCGACGCCAGCGGCTCGGAGAGAGGCTAAATATAACGAGAAGCAAAGAGAGAGAGACGACCTTGGTCCAAACGGAGGCCGAGAGACTAAGTGTTTGTGCGGCTAAGAATGGTGTTTAGAGGAAGCTTGCAGAGGAGAGAATGAGTGAGAGCGCAGTGATGGTGATGATGGAGGCTTAAAGGACAACTACCATGCCTTAGTTTAACCATTAAACGTCATAAGGTACTTTTGTCTTTCGTGTTTTAGAGCAGTGGTCGCTATCCCTCGGGCCGCGGACCAGTAACTTTACTCCTATCTTTGTAAACATTTCTGTACAAACATAGATGTATTATTATATTGATGCCATGTATGTCCCCTGGTCCCTCTCTCTGGTCTCTTTCTGGTTCCTCTCTCTCTCCCTGCTCTCTCTCTGGTCTCCCTCCCCGCTCTCTCTCTCCCTGCTCTCTCTCTAGTCTCTCTCTGGTCTCCCTCCCTGCTCTCTCTGTGGTCTCTCTCTCCCTGCTCTCACTCTAGTCTCTCTCTGGTCTCTCTCTGGTCTCTCTCCCTGCTATCTCTAGTCTCTCTCTGGTCTCCCTCCCTGCTCTCTCTCTCCCTGCTCTCTCTCTAGTCTCTCTGGTCTCTTTCCTCGCTCTCTCTGTGGTCTCTCGCTCTGCTCCCTCCCTGCTCTTTTTTTGGTCTCTCTCTGGTCCCCCTCTGCTCTCTCTGGTCTCTCTCTGCTCCCTCCCTGCTCTCTCTCTGGTTCTCTCTCTGAATGTTTTTTTTTGGCTTAAACGCTTAAGTATCTTCTCGGCTTCAGTACATGTAACATCATGTTTGTCACGTTAGCGTTGGGACGTGCTAACGCGGCTAAACCAAAGACAGGTCCAGTCTTTGGTTCTCACACAGAGGAGCAGGACTCACCGCATGTTTCACATTAACGCCTCGCTATGAACCGTGTGAAAGCTGAACGCAATTTCCTCTGAGGTGAAACTACAGCAAACAGACAAGACACATCTCTCTTTGAAGGGTTTCTATATTAAAAGTGAACAGATAAAATTGAAAATGATTAGGGCCTCTCCACCTGACTTAAATTCAGTTAAAAGTTCCTGTTTCGTCATTATTATATTCTAGCTGATTCTGTTTTTCCAATGACTCCGGGTACTCCGGTTTCCCCTACCACTAAAAATATGTACAGGTCTGGCATGCGCCTCCTGTACCGGCGACCACGCTCCCATCTCTGTGTGGAGTGAGAGACACATGCCCAAAAATAACAATTGTAAACCGCTTTGTGACTCTGGTCTGTGAAAGGCGGTATATGAATAAAGATTACTTACTTACTTACTTACTCATTATTTGTTTGTTTGTTTTTCTGAGGAAACCCACCCAGACAGAAGGAGAGCATGCAAACTCCACACAGAAAGGCCCAGGTCGACCCAGGACCAAAGGCATGACATTCTTGCAATGAGGCAATCAACTTTTCATTAATATTCTAAAATTATAACAAGCTAACACACGCACCTGACATCTGACGCTAGAGAGAGAGCGGAGAGAGCACGGAGAGAGATGAGAGAGATTAGAGAGAGAGTCGAGAGAGATCAGAGAAAGAGCAGGGAGAGATGAGAGAGATAACAGAGAGAGACCAGAGAGAGATGAGAGATACCAGAAAGAGAGCAGAGAGAGAGCTGAGAGAGACCAGAGAGAAAAGAGAGAGTGACCAGAGAGACACCAAAGAGAGACCAGAGAGATGAGAGAGACACCAGAGAGAGATGAGAGACTCTCCTCACTCTCCTGTACCAGAGAGAGACCTCATAGAGACCAGCGAGTGACTAGATGGTGAGAGGTCGGAGTGTACACAAAAAACAAGGTCAAGAGGCGGGTTAAATGCAGAGGAAGACTCAGGGTGACCCAGGGTTTTTGGCAATCGAAATGAGGCTGTAATTATCACTGTCACAATTTTGTGTCTTGTTTAGACATGTGTCAAGTTAGACAGACAAGACACACACACACATACAGTTCCACAGATAGACACATCTTTACAGTTCCCCCCAAAAACACCCTAAAATTGAAATCAAACAAGTCATCCGATCGCCTCGACAGCTCCAGGTTCTCTCCGCTCCATGAATCATCGCAGCGTTCCCAGCGGCGTGCCCTGATTGAGAACTCATTGTCTCAAAAGCCTCTTGTCTTTCTCCTATTTCTCGCTCCCCTCTCACTCACGCTCATCCTCAGACCTCTGCTTAACCCCCCCCCACCCCCCACCCCCACAAACGCACACACATTCCTGGGTAAACTGTGAAAAATAAGCTCCCAGACATGAAGAGCACGTCTGCCTCTGGGACGCAGCCACCTCGCTCACTTCAAAGAGGCGAAAGTGACGCGTTCAAACTGATGAGGTGCGGCCGGGGCCTCGGAGCGGGCTGTAGTAGCCGCGCGTTGAAAGCCCAGGTCCAGAGATCGCGCTCGTAAATCACGCTTTTGTTTCAAAGACGGAGGCATTAAGTCCAGCTGTCAACAATTAGTCTGCGAGCTCCGCGCCGGCTACGTGAGCGCGTACGGGGAAGACGGATTAGCCGAGAGTTTGGTAAAAGTTACGTGGTATCGTTTGTTTTCCAGACAATGGGGAAATCTGAGTACAAGTGGTGGTGGTGATGGTTTAACACTGAGGTGGATGAGGAGGTCAGCGGTCAAACTGTGAGCGAGAGGAGAGAGCAAAGAGAGAGAGAGAGAGAGAGACCATAGAGAGAGAGCAAAGACCAGAGAGAGAGAGACGCCAGAGAGCGAGACTAGAGAGAGAGAGCAGAGAGAGGCCAGAGAGCGAGACTAGAGAGAGACCAGAAAGACAGGGCAGAGAGAGACCAGAGAGAGGCCGGAGAGAGAGAGACCAGAGCAAGAGACCACAGAGAGAGAGAGAGAGAGCAGAGAGAGAGACCAGAGAGAGAGAAAGACTAGAAAGAGAGACCAGAGAGTTCAGAAAGAGATTTTAGGGAGAGACTTCAGATAGAGACCAGATATGGAGAGACCAGAGCAAGAGACCACAGAGAGAGAGAGAGCAGAGAGAGAGACCAGAGAGAGAGAAAGACTAGAAAGAGAGACCAGAGAGTTCAGAAAGAGATTTTAGGGAGAGACTTCAGATAGAGACCAGATATCGAGAGACCAGAGAGAGAGAGACTAAAGAGAAACCAGATTGAGGGACAAATGGGAGAGACGAAAAAGAGACCAGAGAGAGATAGAGACCGGAGAGAGAGACCAGAGGGACACCAAAGTCACTGAGGAAGCAGTGAGCCATGGTTTTAGCGCAGTGAATGACGCTGTAATTATCACTATGTTGTGTCTGGTTTAGACATGTGTCAAGTTAAAGCTGGAAAATGTTCAACTCAATCAAGTCCATTCATTCCTTTTACTGTGAGGCCAAACAAAAAGCCACAAGAAAACTCAAATATTTGTTCTCCCCTTCCTTTGACAAACGGCGGTATGGTTCTAACACATTTCTCCTGGTGTGTCTCCTGGTCTCTCTCTCTGGTCTCGCTCTAGTCTCACTCTGTTCTGTTTCTGCTCTCCCTCTTTAGTCTCTCTCTGTCTGGCCTCTTTCTGGTCTCTCTCTCTGGCCTGTCTCTGGTCTCTATTTCTGATCCCTTTCTGGTCTCTCTCTGATCTCTTTCTGCTCTCTCTCTGATCTGTCTCTGGTCTAACTCTGGTCTTTCTCTCTGGCATCTCTCTGGTCTCTCTCTCTGTTCTCTTTCTGGTCTCTCTCTTGTCTCCCTCTTTAGTCTCTCTCTCTGGCCTGTCTCTGGTCTCTTTCTCGTCTCTTTATATGGTTTCTCTCTTTCTCTCTCTCTCTCTCTCTCTCTCTGGTCTCTCTATGTGGTTTCTCTCTAGACTCACTCTATGGCCTCTCTCTGGTCTCTCTCTCTGGCCTGTCCCTCTCTGGTCTCTTAGTCAAGTTAAAACTGGAAAACGTTCTACTCAATCAAGTCCATTTACCTCATGACCAAACCAAAAGCCACAAGAAAACTCAAATATTTGCTCTCCTTGGCTTTGACAGAGGGAGGAGTGGTCTTTACACATTTCTCCTGGTGTGTTTAACATGTTTGGGGAAGAGCCGGTTTCGTAGTAGAGCAGTTCCCTTAAGTCTGGGCTCATCCATCACTCCTCTGCTGGTTCCTGGAAAGCCGGGAGTGAGGAGGAGGTGATATTTGACACTGGCAACGCCTGGAGGTCAGGCAGGGCAGCTGACCCCAGGAAAGTCCTCTCCGAACGGGGACCGGAGCGAGCTGAGTGAGTCCGAGAAACGGGAGATTCTGTTCATCTTTATATTAGCTACATACAAGCACCATGCAATAATACAGAAGTAATACATTTAAATTATTGTTACTCTCCCTGCTTTAGTCTCTGCCTCAGTCTCTGCCTCAGTCTGGTCTTTCTCAGGTCTAAGCTTTTCTTAACAAGACCTTTTCTTTTCACGTTATTTTGACCCATCAGGTGATATTGACGCATCGCCAAAGGCCAACATGCAGTTCACAGGTTGAAATGGAACAAAGCAAGATAGAAATATAAATATAAAAAGTCCTGGAGGTCCTCACCGTGCAGTGGAGACCCAGAGGGGCTGCTGGACAGGCCTGGGATGGGGCTGCATCGTCCTCCTAAACCTCCTGCTCCTCCCAGGATGCACGCGCCTCCTCCTCCTCCTCCTCCACCTGGGGCTCGGTTCAGCTCCTGCTCCATCTCCTCCAGTCCTGCGCTCTTCTGGAAGCGCGACATGCGGTTGACGACGCGCGGCGACATGTGTGTGCGGACGCTGGGAGCGCAACCGTACGGGTTCACGGGAAACACGTGTGTAGTGCCACGGAGGGTGCTCACCGCCACCCAGCGGCTGTCCGGGCTGAACACCATGTCCTGCACCTGAGGAGAGACCAGAGAGAGCCAGGAAGTGAGCTGTTAGCATGCTAGTTAAACACACTGTAGAGAAAGAGTAGAGAGGAGAGAGCATCTGTGAGAACCAGGAATACCCTGTCTTGTACATAAGGAGTCTCTCTTGCCTCTCTCTGGCCTCTCGCCAGACTCTCTCCAGAATGTCTCTGGCATCTCTGTAGACTTTCTCTCTGGCATCACTCTCTCTGGCCTCTCTTTCTGTCTCTCTGGGCTCTCTCTCTTGTCTCTCTCTCTGGCCTCTCTCTCTGGTCTCTCTCTCTCTGGTCTCTCTCTCTGGTCTCTCTCTCTGGCCTCTCTCTCTGGCCTCACGCCAGACTCTCTCCAGAATGTCTCTGGCATCTCTGTAGACTTTCTCTCTGGCCTCTCTCTGGCCTCTCTCTCTTGTCCCTCTCTCTGGTCTCTCTCTGGCCTCTCTCTGGTCTCTCTCTCTGGCCTCTCTCTGGCCTCTCTCTCTTGTCTCTCTCTCTGGCCTCTCTCTCTAGTCTCTCTCTCTGGCCTCTCTCTCTGGTCTCTCTCTCTGGCCTCTCTCTCTGGCCTCTCTCTCTGGCCTCTCTCTCTAGTCTCTCTCTCTGGTCTCTCTCTCTGGCCTCTCTCTCTGGCCTCTCTCTCTGGCCTCTCTCTCTGGCCTCTATCTCTGGCCTCTCTCTCTGGTCTCTCTCTCTGGCCTCTCTCTCTGGCCTCTATCTCTGGTCTCTCTCTCTCTGGTCTCTCTCTCTGACCTCTCTCCCTGGCCTCTCTCTGGTTTTTCTCTCTGGCCTCTCTCTCTTGCCTTTCTCGGTGGCCTCTCTCTCTGTTCTCTGTCCAGACTCTCTCTCTGACCTCTCTAAGGCCTCTTTCTGGCCAAACAAGCATAACAGTCCAATCTCCTCCCTTTATTTTTCACCATATCAGATGTTTGGATCCTTATCAAAGACACACTAACAAGCCACAGACAAGACCAGAGAGAGAATTCTTGCTAATTCAATGTTTCTCCACAGCCATTACCTGAACTATCTGATAAAGTTAAAGCTAGTATTTGACCTGTGCCTTTTTGAGCCGCTCTCAGGTCAGTGTCTGTATCTAGCGCTAGCATCACACGCAACACTTCCCCATGACAATCGCACACCCATCTGCCCTCCGCAGTCACAAACAAGTCTCATTTAGCTCACAAAACTCACACTTATTTCCATTCAATATTTACATCAGGCGCACAATCACATGGAAACACGTCTCAGACTCGGTTCTTGTTTGTCTCGCTGATAAACACATGAGGAGGCCGAAGGTGGCGAAGCGCAGAGAAACATGTGCCCATTGTCTGTCTGCGCAGGAGCGAGGCGAGCTGAGGCGATAGCATCTGTGAGAGAGTATTTTAAACACGGCAGGCGCTGGGCAGACAGACAGCAGACAGATGCACCAGACAATGGCATCGGAAGGCGCGGAGAGAGATATGTAAGTGTTATTTATAGGGAAATTGGCAACAGAGAGGAATGCGTCGTGGTGAAGGTCACGAGGCGATTGGTTGACAACGCTGGGCACGGTGTCATGTGATTTATAGCATCGTGTCCTGGAGAAGTGAGGCAAAACTGGGGAATAAGGGTTTTGATAAGGCGATAGATACCTGGTCTCTCTCTCTAGTCTCTCTCTAACCTTTCTCTCTGGTCTCCCTCTGATCTCTCTCTCTGGCCTCTCTGTAGTCTCTCTCTGGCCTCTCTCTAGTCTCTCTCGCTGGTCTCTCTCTTGTCTTTCTGTGGTCTCTCTCTGGTCTCTCCCTCTGGTCTCTCTTTGGCCTCTCTCTGACCTCCCTCTCTCATCTCTCTCTAGTCTCTCTCTGGTCTCTCTCTCTGGCCTCTCTGTAGTCTCTATCTGTGGTCTCTCTCTGTTCTCTTTGGCCTCTCTCTGACCTTTCTCTCTGGTCTCTCCCTCTATTTTCTCTCTCTCTCTGGCCTACCTCTAGTCTCTGGTCTTTCTCTCTCTAGTCACTCTCTCTGGTCCCTCTCTCTGGTCTCTCTCTCTGGTCTCTCTCTCTGGTCTCTCTCTCTGGTCTCTCTCTCTGGTCTCTCTTTCTTGTCTCTCTCCCTGATCTCTGATCTCTCTCACAGTGTTCCTCCCGCTCCCTTGATATTATTGCATTTGCAGTGAACTTTCTGAGCCGAAACTTCACCTTCTGACCTGACGCAGATGTGTTTTATCTCGTCATCTCTTTCAGCTGCATCTCTGTCACATTCTTAGTTTTATCTCAAGTTAAATTTAGAAAGAATGACGTACGTGTAAATATCACACCGGGGCTGGTTACTCAGAACAATTTCACACCACAAACATGCCACTACTACTACTACTATTAATACTGCTACTACTGCCTCTACTTCTACTGGGACAACAACTGCTACTACCACTATTATCAATACGACAACTACTGCTTCTACTACTGGGACTTAAACTGCGGCAACTGTTAATACTAGTACTACGACCACTACTACTGCTTCTCCTACTATACTCGTACTAGTGCTACACAACAATAGGACTGCACAAACCATATCTTTTGTGATAATAATACATCTTTGGGGGAAATTCACAGACACAGGACGACCATTAAGAAAGTTCAGCGATGAAATGTCTGAGGCGAGTTCACCTTCACCTTCACATTGGGGCCATTTCTAAATAATAAAAACACGTAGGAACACCACTGGTACTACTACTACTACTGCTGCTACTACTACTGCTACTACTGCTGCTACTACCGCTGCTACTACTGCTGCTACTACTACCACTACTGATTCTGCTTCTACTACTATCACCTCTGCTATTACTACTACTTGTACTACTACTGCTGGTACTACTACTTTGATTACAACTATTGCTTCTACTACTACTACTGCTGCTACTTCTACACCACTATTACTACTACTACGACTACTACTACTGCTACTGCTGCTACTACTACCACTACTGATTCTGCTTCTACAACTATCACCTCTGCCTCTGCCTCGCTCACACTTAATGTAAATAGTAAGTAAGTAAGTAAGTAAGTAAGTTTTTATTTATATACCGCCTTTTCACTGCAGATCTGAGTCTCAAAGCGGTTTACAATTGTTAATTTTGGGCAATTGTTTCTCACTCCACACAGAGATGGGAGCGGGGCCAGTACAGGAGGCGCATGCCAGAATTATTGGACATATTTTTAGTGGTAGGGGAAACCGGAGCACCCGGAGGAAACCTACGCAGACACGGGGAGAACATGCAAACTCCACTCAGAAAGGCCCTGGTCCGACCGGGATTCGAACCCAGGACCTTCTTGCTGAGAGGCGAGAGTGCTATCCACTCAGCCACCGTGCCACCGTATATAATAAACATAAAATATTATACATAAATATATGTATAAATAAAACGGTAGCAATGTATTTCACCAAAACTCAAAAACTGAAGTCCTCCTTTCCATACATTTATGTAAACCAGAGTCAAATAAAAGTAGTGAAGGAATTTAAATATCTAGGCCTTGTTTTGGATTCAACGTTTAGTTTTAAAAAACATGTTAAGAAAATTGGCAACACAGTAAAATACAGTTTGTCTGTTTTTAAACATATTAGGAATACACTGACTCATGATGCGGCAAAAATTTATTTGGAGGCAATGATAATTCCACATATTAATTACTGTATTTCTTGTTGGTCACAGACGAGTGACACAACAATAAAACCTCTAAAATCTCTATATAATCAAGCTATTAAAGTGCTAGACAAAAAGCCATTGAGATACCATCACTGTCTGATCCTTAGAAAATACAGCATGTTTAACTTTGATAATTTAATTGTGTACGCAAATGTGCGATTAGTTTTTAAAATTTTGAATAATACTGCACCTCCACCGCTGAAAACATTTGTCCAGCTCTGTTCTGAGCAGATGAATTGGAGCTCCAGGTCCACAAGTCGTAATGACTGTAGACTGCCTAAACGTAGCTCAGCCTTTGCACAGACATCCTTCTCATTCAAAGGCATCAAAGAATGGAACAAACTCCCACAGAGTCTGAAACTTTCCTTAGACCTGAAAGATTTCTCTCGTAATACAAAAAAAGTGCTGTTGGTGAACCAGTCATGTCAGCACTGATAATTGTAAATGTAAATATGACCGTTAGTGATGTTTTATGTAGTAATTTTAGCATGATTTTATGTGGACTGATGGATGTAACGGGTGAATGTATGAATGAATATTTGTATTTGAGTGGTTAAATATATTTTATATTGTACATGTTGTGACTCACCTGCTCAGGGACTGCAGATGGAAACTAGCTCAAGCTAAATCTGGTGCAAAGCATCTTTAATTAATGTATTTGCACATTGTCCCTGTTGAAATAAATTAATAAACTAAACTAAACTACAAATGCTGCTACTACTACACTACTACAACTGCTGCTACTACTACACTACTGCTACTGCTGTTGCGGCTACTACTACTATTACTCTTTCTACCACTACTACTACTGCTACTGCTACTATTATTGCTACAACACAACAAGAGAACTGCATATTTTCTGTCTGTTTTGAATATTCAATATTTTAAGTACATAAGTGAGACTCAAAAAAACACCAAGGATGACCATAAAAGTCAAACCCACTGAGAAGGTTCGGAGGTAAAACGTCTGAGGCTGGTGTTCACCTTCACATCGAGGCCATTCCTCAAAAACAAAAACCTGTCCCTTGTCTCTTATCACGTAGGATCACGGTGAAACTGAAGTGGTCATTTACTGTCCGGACTCTGACAGCTCCAATTACACACAATTACAGGCGCACAAAGTCGGCCATTCTCTGCGCTGCGATGAGGCGCGCGGGTCAGTGTCTGGAATGCACGAGATGGAACCATTAACCCTCATTGTAAGGCACCATTAGTCGCAGAAACCTGGCGATGGATGAGAAGGAGGCGCAGGTAAGAAACTCGCCAAAACTCGCGGCAATTAACGTCAGCAAAGTCACATTCCGCAGTGGTCTCGAATTGTGTCGCTCTCTCTGGTCTCTGGTTTCTTCCTGGTCTCTCTCTGGTTTCTCCCTGACTCTCTGGTCTCTGGTTTCCCCTGGTCTCTCTCTGGTCTCTCTCTGGTCTCTCTCTCTGGTTTCTCTATCTGGTTTCTCTATCTGGCCTCTCTGTTCTCTGGTTTCTTCCTGGTCTTTCTCTGGTCTCTCTCTGGCCTCCCTTTGGCCTCTCTCTCCGGTCTCTCTCTCCGGTCTCTCTCTCCGGTCTCTCTCTCCGGTCTCTCTCTCTGGTCTCTCTCTGGTCTCTCTCTGGTCTCTCTCTGGCCTCCCTTTGGCCTCTCTCTGGCCTCTCTCTCCGGTCTCTCTCTCTGGTCTCTCTCTGTCCTCCCTTTGGCCTCTCTCTGGCCTCTCTCTCCGGTCTCTCTCTCTGGTCTCTCTCTGGCCTCCCTTTGGCCTCTCTCTCTGGTCTCTCTCTCTGGTATCTCTCTGGCCTCCCTTTGGCCTCTCTCTGGACTCTCTCTCCGGTCTCTCTCTCTGGTCTCTCTCTGGCCTCCCTTTGGCCTCTCTCTGGCCTCCCTTTGGCCTCTCTCTGGCCTCTCTCTCTGGTCTCTCTCTCTGGTCTCTCTCCGGTCTCTCTCTCTGGCCTCTCTCTCGGATCTCTCTCTGGTCTCTGTCTGGTCTCTCTCTGGTCTCTCTCTCTGGTCTCTCACTGGTCTCTTTCTCTGCCTTCTCTCTTTGATTTGAACAAGTTCCCCTCTTTATCAGTGTATTAAACCCATCACTATTATTCAGATCTCTATCAATATTATGAAACAGCCTTTTTCTGATTGTCTCATTTCTCTGTAATGTGTGGGGTTTGTTTTGGTATCACTCCCATCTGAACCCGGGGATACAGGGCCGGTGTCCAGACCTGCCTCTTTGTAAAGTTTAGAAGTGTGTTTTCTGGAGGCCTCTCTCGTCTTTTATCAGCGAGTAAACGTCAGCGGTAAATACAGAGCTGATAAAACCAGACAGGAGTGAGGCAGGTTCCACAAATCATCACACTGATTACAGATATGTCAATGTTGTATTTAGTTCCATGGCCAATACTGATCCAGTTCAGAATCCAGGTCAGAATCCAGAGAAAACAGTTCACCAAAATAAACTTATTCTTAGAAGTTTTGTATTATCCAGACCAGAGCGAGAGTCCAGAGAGAGAGAGACTGGAGGGAGAGACCAAAGAGAGACCAGAGAGAGAGAGACCAAAGAGGGAAAACCCAGAGGGAGAGATCAGAGAAAGAGAGAGAACAAAGAGAGACCAGAGAGAGACCAGAGGGAAAGCAGAGACCAGAGAGAGGGACCAGAGGGAGAGACCAGAGAGACAGACCAAAGAGACCAGATAACAGAGAGTGACCAGAGAAAGATCAGATATAGGAACCAGAAAGAGACCAGAGAGAAAGACCGGAGAGACAGACGATAGAGAGAGCCGATATAGAGAACAGATAGAGACCAGAGAGAGAGAGAACCGAGAGAGAGAAAGAACGGAGAAAGAGACCAGAGAGAGACGATAGAGAGAGCCCATATAGAGAACAGATAGAGACCAGAGAGGGAGAGAACAGAGAGAAAGACCAAAGAGAGAGAACAGAGAGAGACCAGAGAGAAAGAACAGAGGGAGAGACTACAGAGAGAACAGATAGAGACCAGAGAGAGAGACTCTAGAGAATCACTTCATAATGGCCTAAAGCAGGTCTATCATCCAAGTGAAGCGATACAGACTCTTTCAAACATACTTCTCACAACTTTATAAAGGAAAGAGCAGCGTGTGCAACTGCCCAAACTCTGAGCTTCACTCACCCAAACACAGCTCCACGGCTCGTTACGCTCTAATTATAAACAGTATTGTCCCTTGTGATTTGTATGTAGTTTTGTAACCTTCTTCCCCTGACCCACATGGGAGTTTGAGTTCTGAGCCCTGTTTTTGCTCAGTAGGAATGAGGCTCTCAATTCTCACTTCACAGCAGACAGAAGCTCTCTCGTCTTCAAACTCTCACACAGTTGTATTTATCTTTGCTAGCCCCTCAGCTAACCCCTCCTCTTTAAATCTGAGAGTGTGTTTGCTCATTTCCCCACTGCCAGGGCCTTGTGGAGTTCAGGATCACTGGCCTCTCTCTGGTTAATGTGTGACCGGCTGCTTTTGATCCGGCCCAAGCCACACACCGGCAGTCTGCTCCCAACGTCAGAGGTTATCACAGACCTGCTCCTGGATCCACAGAGGTGACAGACACCAGGAGACAGGGACCAGGAGACAAGGACCAGGAGACAGAGACCAGGAGACAGAGACCAGGAGACAGAGACCAGGAGACAGAGACCAGGAGACAAGGACCAGGAGACAGGGACCAGGAGACAAGGACCAGGAGACAGGGACCAGGAGACAGAGACCAGGAGACAGAAACCAGGAGACAGAGACCAAAAGACAAACACCAAGAGACAAACACCAGAAGACAGAGACCAGGAGACAGAGACCAGGAGACAGGGACCAGGAGACAGAGACCAGGAGACAGGGACCAGGAGACAGGGGCCAGAAGACAGAGACCAAGAGACAGAGACCAGGAGACAGAGACCAGGAGACAGAGACCAGAAGACAGGGACCAGGAGACAGGGACCAGGAGACAGAGACCAGGAGACAGAGACCAGGAGACAGAGACCAGGAGACAGAGACCAGGAGACAGGGACCAGGAGACAGAGACCGGGAGACAGAGACCAGGACACAGAGACCAGGAGACAGAAACCAAAAGACAAACACCAAGAGACAAACACCAGGAGACAAACACCAGGAGACAGAGACCAGGAGACAGAGACCAGGAGACAGGGACCAGGAGACAGAGACCAGGAGACAGAGACCGAGAGAGGGGCCTAGCTCTCTGTCTGACTGTAGTTATTTAAGGTTGTTGGAATAAAAACAATATTTAATAGTTTGCATTTCTGTGGAATTGGTGAGGACATAAAGAACAAAATGAAAGCAAAAGCAACAAAATGTCAGTTGTTCTGAAATGTTTGTGGTCATGTCCCTACTTAAAGAAGCTATACCCGATTTTTTTTGTAAGTAGTTCATAAAAATGCTTTTTACTACATACAAGTTGTATCATAATACATAATTTAATTGAAAACTTGAGGTAATTGATTCAGCTGTGTAAGAATTACAAGCAGTGAAAAGTGCTGAGTAGAGTCTGAGCGGGCCGCTCTTTCTCCTCCACTCACAGAACGAGCAGGAGACCAGCCTGCGTCCTCTAGCCTCTACAGCGCTGCTTAACACCAGGGCTTCGACTTCAAAATTCGAATATAATTCTAAAATAAAAAATGATGAACAAAATAATTGAATAAAAAAATGTGAACAAATATTAGACAACCCTTGTAATTCGAAATGTATTTAATGACTGCAAATAAAATAGTTAGCTCCCAAAGGTTTCACCGGGACGTGCTAGGCAGGTAACAGCTAAGCTAGCTAGCTGTTTCATGGTAACTTCCGGGTTTTTCGCAATCGCTTTTTGTCACATTGAAACAGTATTTTTGACATGAAAACGTTAACAGCAAATTCTGAAATCGTCCGTGCATGTGTGTTAAGGATGTATATGTGTACTGTATTGTCCGATTGACGTTTAATGGTGTTGATTGATAGATATGTAGTTGTTTATTGAGCGTGGCTAGCTCCGCTAGCTCCGTTGGCTTCTCTACACAGACGAGTGTGTAGTGACAGGCGCTGATAGCTTGTTGTACTTGCAAAGTAATGGCAGTATTTTACACACCTGAATTACAAACAGAGATTGCATTGGGGCTTCGGTCATTATTGGTTTGAGAGTTCTGTTATCAAGAAAAAATGATCGGAAGAATTGCTGCTGCTGCTTTGAGGAGCTCTATAACAAATTATAATTAAATATTAGAATATATTCTAAGGTTTTAAATTAATACATTCGGACGCAAAACTAGCGGTATTCTTTTACTTATATATTGTGTTAGCAGTGCGTTGCTTTAGTGCCATTTCATCAGTGATTGTTGTACAGCTTACAAGAAGTTGTGCTAATGCTAATGTTAGCATATGTATCAGATCGCAAATAAAACTAGGTGGCTCTGTGTTATGAGAGCGTAGGGGAAATGAGAAGCCATTGAGCGAGTTGGGGGGCGGTGCTAAACATTCAAACATTGCAGAAACGGGTATAGCGCCTTTAATGTCTGAAGTCTGGATCTACAGCCTCAGCCCTGGGTCTACAGCCTCAGTCCTGGATCTACAGCCTCAGTCCTGGATCTACAGCCTCAGTCCAGGATCTACAGTCTCAGGCCTGGATCTAGAGTCTCAGTTCTGGGTCTAAGTCTCAGTTTGGGATCAACAGCCTGTCCATTCGTGGGAGCACATCAATTTCTCAATATGGGCCACCCCAGGGTTTCTCACTCTTTTCCCACTGGGCTCCTCTCTGATGCAGGAGGGTCTAAAAACAGTGATGATCCTGGACATTTATGCACATCCCGCTCCCTATAGACCAATGGCTTCAATGTGTTTGTTATTATTGTATTTCCTGTGTGAACGGTTTGATTCTCTGATCTCTTGTCCTCCGAGACGTCTGCTGCTGTCATATAGGTCCGTACATAAATACATTGAGTTGAGTTGAATGTGCAGCTGGAGCAGTACTTGTACCTTGGCCTCGGTCTCGCCGCGGTGCAGTGTGTAGAGGTGATGGACCGCGCTTTGCACCGAGGCCCAGGGGTGAGTGAGGATCTGGAACACGTGGAAGTCATGTCCCAGAGTGTCTGCAGTCACCAGCAACATCCCTGAAACACAACAGCAGCAGAAGATGAGGACCAGTCTGCTTCAGGTATGTTCAGATTTATTTAGAGAGCACAGCGGGAACATCATGAGACCAAGACGAAAGCTACATACTGCATTCAACATGGGAGAATTCAGAAAGTGAGATGCATTTTTTGCTTGTTTGAGATGAATGAAAGTCAATTTGCAAAACACAAACATAGAAAGAGACCAGAGAATGTCCAGTGAGAGAGACTAGAGAGACCAGATAGAGAGACCTGAGGTAGACCAGAGAGAAGGACCAGAGAGAGATACCTGAGAGAGAGACCACACAAAGCAGTTTTCTGCCTTTTAGAAGAAATGTATTGCCTATAAATAAGTTTTTAGTTATGTTTTTCTCCTTGGGCTGCGATCCCAGTGAAGTGTAAAAAATAATAATTAATGAGTAATTAGGAGTAGTAGGAAAGAGAGAGAACAAAAAGAGACCAAGGAGAGTGAGCCAGGATAGAAAGAGACCAGAGAGGGACACTAAATAGAGACCAGAGAGAGACACTCGAGTGACACTCCTTGGGTTCCTCTTTCGGTCTCTCCTTGGGTCTCTCCTTGGGTCTCTCCTTGGATCTCTCCTTGGGTCTCTCCTTGGGTCTCTCCTTGGGTCTCTCCTTGGGTCTCTCCTTGGGTCTCTCCTTGGGTCTCTCCTTGGGTCTCTCCTTGGGTCTCTCCTTGAGTCTCTCCTTGAGTCTCTCCTTGGGTCTCTCCTTGGGTCTCTCCTTGGGTATTTCCTTGAGTCTCTCCTTGGGTCTCTCCTTGGGTCTCTCCTTGGGTCTCTCCTTGGGTCTCTCCTTGGGTCTCTTCTTGGGTCTCTTCTTGGGTCTCTCCTTGGGTCTCTCATTGGGTCTCTCATTGGGTCTTGCTTTGAGTCTCTCCTTGGGTCTCTCCTTGAGTCTCTCCTTGGGCCTCTCCTTGGGCCTCTCCTTGGGCCTCTCCTTGGGCCTCTCCTTGGGCCTCTCCTTGGGCCTCTCCTTGGGTCTCTCCTTTAGTCTTTCCTTGGGTCTCTCCTTGGGTATTGCTTTGAGTCTCTCATTTGGTCTCTCCTTGTGTCTCTCCTTGAGTCTCTCCTTGGGTCTCTCCTTGTGTCTCTCCTTGAGTCTCTCCTTGGGTCTCTCCTTGAGTCTCTCCTTGGGTCTCTCCTTGTGTCTCTCCTTGAGTCTCTCCTTGGGCCTCTCCTTGGGCCTCTCCTTGGGCCTCTCCTTGGGCCTCTCCTTGGGTCTCTCCTTGTGTCTCTCCTTGAGTCTCTCCTTGGGTCTCTCCTTGTGTCTCTCCTTGAGTCTCTCCTTGAGTCTCTCCTTGGGCCTCTCCTTGGGCCTCTCCTTGGGCCTCTCCTTGGGTCTCTCCTTTAGTCTTTCCTTGGGTCTCTCCTTGGGTCTTGCTTTGAGTCTCTCCTTGGGTCTCTCCTTGTGTCTCTCCTTGGGTCTCTCTATTTGGTTTGGCCCTGGTCTGGACCCCATTGAGTCGTTGGATAAAAATAAGTCCGGTTTGTGGATAATGACAGAGTATTTAGAGGCCTGTGATACAGAGGTGTGTGAGTCATTGAGTGGTAACCGTAATGCGCAGGCTGCCACTTCCTCGAGGTTTAAAACTCTCGTATATTAGCGATGTGGTGCGTGCATCCACCAAGCTTCAATTAGCACGTTAGCCACATCCGCCGGCGAGACTCAGGTTTAAGAACAGTTTTACAAGGCACCGTGTCGCTAGGGAGATGTTTTGATTACGTTTTTGTTATGGACTCAGAGAGAGAAACGAGGGAGAGAGACTAGGGCAGTGGTCTCCAACCTGTAGCTTGAGACATGATCCTGAATGATTTTATTTTCAGTCATTACATGTCTTTTTTAAGTATAAATGTAGGGTTGTACAGTATTATCGTATTTTTACATATGTATTCTCCATGTTTTGTCGTAGTTGCAATATAGATGTTTATTACGACTACAAAAGGGAGTAGCTCTCTGTTGCTTCTGTTGCAGAAAACCAGCTCTACAATTGAGAAAGGTTGGAGACCCCTGTAGTAGAGAGATCAGAGTGAGAGAGACGAGAGACAGTAGAAAGACCAGAGAGAGTAATCAGAGCGAGAGACAAGAGAGACCAAAGAGAGAGATGTGAGAGAGACCAGAGAGACTAGAGAGAGAGACTTGGTTTATGAACAGTTTTACAAGGCGCCATGTCGCGGAGATGTGTTTTAATTATATTTTTTGTTATGATTGATAGAAAGGCCAGAGAAAGCGAGAGAGACTAGAGAGACCAGAAAGAGAGCAGAGACCAGAGAGAGATCAGAGAGAGACTAAAGAGACCAGTTACTGCTGCAACTACTACTGTACTACGGCTGTTTTTTAAAAACAACCATTATTTATTTTTCTGTGGCTTATTGAATCCAGCGCGAGTACGTCTGGCACATGTATACAAACACAGTAACCCTCTGCTAACCCTCTGTGAGCTACTGTAGCTACAATGTTACTACTATGCCACTACTGCTACTGGTGCTATACTACTTTACTTCTGCTACTGCTACTGCTACTACTACTACTACTACTACTACTACTACAAATACAAAGTACACATATGTCATCAAAAATATGCGACATATGTGTACAAACACAGTAACATGACGCTCTCTGGGATCCTCCGTCATCTCCCCTCGTCTCCCTCTGAAGTTTATGCTCTCTGGTTCGGACAAATCCAGGCCAATCCTGGTCCCTCCCGCATCTCCTCCTCTGCAACCTCCCAGCTGGTTACAATTTAGCCTCCCCCCTCCTCCCCCCCTCTGTCCCCTTGTGTTCAAAGTCCTCCTGAGCTCCACGCGGCTAATTAAAAAGTGGACCGAGTTTGTTGTGGCCGTCCAAGATCTTCGCCAAGCCAGGGGGAAGTTTCTGGTGGCTTTTCTGGAGAGAGAGCAGAGAGAGGCCAGAGAGGGAGAGAGGCCTGAGAGAGAGAGAGTCCAGAGACAGATACCAGAGGGAGAAAGAGAAGCCAGAGAGATGCCAGAGAGAGAGAGGCCATAGAGGGAGAGAGGCCATGGGAGAGAGGCCAGAGAGGGAGAGGCCAGAGATATATACCAGAGGGGGAGAGATGCCAGAGAGGGCGAGGCCAGAGAAAGACCAGAGAGAGAGGCTAGAGAGGGAGACCAGAGAGAGAGAGACCAGAGAGAGACCAGAGAGCGAAACCAGAGAGAGAGGCACGAGAGAGAGGCCTGAGAGAGAGACCAGAGGGAGACCCCAGAGAGAGAAAGACGAGAGGGAGGCCAGAGAGAAACCAGGGAGAGAGCCTCTCCCCCCTCTCTCTGTCCCCTTGTGTTCAAAGCCCTTCTGAGCTTTGCGCGGCTAATTAAAAAAGTGGACCGAGTTTGTTGTGGCCGTCGGAGATCCCTGCCAAAGCCAGGGGGAAGTTTCTGGTGGCTTTTCGCGCTTACGTTACAGATGTGATGCGATGCCAGGGAGGAAGACTGCGTGGAAGAGGAGTCCTCAGTCTCCAGGGCGCATGTGTTTTGCGTTTGAGAAGGACAAGGCTGTAAATAAGTGCGAATATTGAAATGGGACGATACGCACAAGAGGAAGGAGCTGTAGAGGAAGGAGCTGTATAAGAAGTAGCGGCGGCTGCTTCTCTCCAAGATTTGCTCGTGCATGTGTTTCCAGTTTGTACATTTGGATTTGGGGAGTCACAATGGAAATAAAAAGAACGATGACGCTAAATATGTGTACACAAAACATCGAAGATTCAAAGCTACTTCTGAGTTTGTGCGTTGTGTGCGATGTCCAACTGGGAATGAACTCAGAATGGGTCAAACTGACAAGAAAGAGACAAGAAACAGAGACCAGAGAGACAAGAAAGAGGCCCGAGAGAGAGACCAGAGAGACAAGAGAGAGGCCCGAGAGAGAGAGAGAGAGACCAGAGAGACAAGAGAGAGGCCTGAGAGAGAGAGACCAGAGAGACAAGAGAGAGGCCTGAGAGAGACAAGAGAGAGACCAGAGAGACAAGAGAGAGGACCGAGAGAGACAAGAGAGAGAGACCAGAGAGACAAGAGAGAGGACCGAGAGAGACAAGAGAGATAGATCAGAGATAGACAAAAGAGAGAGACCAGAGAGACAAAGTGAAGAGTGGAGTTCCCCAGCTTGTGCATATGGAAAAGCACATATGTAATTACACTTATGACACTTAAACATACACATTCCATAGAATTATTGTATACTCCAAATGATACATGTTTAAATATTTTATGAAAAAATAATGTAAGATTTTTTTGAATATTATACATGATGATGATATATAAGATAGGAAATGTACTTGTAGTACTGCAAACACTACAAAAGGAAGAAGTAACAAAAGTAAAGTGATCATCATGATGAAGATCAAACAAGTGAAAGAACTACTATTACACCCAAATTACACTATTACACACGGATTATTCTATTAAGGAATGATAAATAGAAAATACAGACATTATCCATATATTAATGACATACAGATTTTATATTGATTATAGATAGTAAAACTGTAAATTATACAAAGACTGTTTACAATAACATAAACCACTCTTATTTGCCACATATGAAAAATGTGCAAAAGGTGCCACTTATCATACAAACATAATACGAAAGCCATATAACATGTGATGTGATATTTATATTTTATGTGAAACTTTTCCACATGGGTCGAAGCAGATTCTATGCGTTTTGAGACAGTGCAACAGTTTAAGAGTTATTTACGGAGACAATTCCATCACTGCCTTTGGTCCATTACGGCCCGCGTCTCGCACACATGCTAAATTAGAGGTTCTCTTCTCTCTGGTGCGCGTGCCAGCGTCTGCTAGCGCTCCAGCATCGTAAATAACACGCGCGCCCGCTCCAGAGGTGTTAAAAATAGGACGTGTCGAAGCCAAGACCGGGCCTCGGCCACAGGATCCTGCCCTCTCTGCACCGGAGCGCGGCGAGCGGAGCTTGTAATCTGCCGTGCCGCGGGCAAAGCCACTGACGCCT